CATTAAGTGGTCATTCCTACAACTTTGACTTGGGTTCAATTGTTGCATCACAAACACCATCTCACCCTTTTCCCATCTGAGCAAACCGACTTGAGAGAGTGAGAGGGAGGAAAGAACTTGAATTCAACTAAATTGCTTGGTGAACTTGAAGAATTGGAGAGAGAATTGCATATTTGAGCTCTCATACCTTAATTCAAGACCTAAGGTAGAGAATTTATCTTCTTGTTTGTGTATTTGAGTTGATTCTTGCATGGTCCATGTTAATTTTGAAGTCTAGAGCCAAATATGGCTTAAATTGTTGAATTGAGTTAGAATTCATGCATACATGGTCCTATTGTTGAGTTTGGAAGTTGTTTCATGAGAATTTCTTCATGCATGTCCATATTTTTGGTCTCTATCCATGAATTCACCTTAATTCACCATGTTCTTGCAAGGATTGGCTCTTTGGAGCATGCATTAGAAGCTTTGAATTCATTAGAACACATGCATGTTACATGTAAATTATGTTCTTGAGGTTTATTTGAAAAGTGTGTTTAATTAAACTACCTTTGGGCTTTAATTTCTCAAATTGATCTTCAAAACATGTTATACTATGAGTTTAAAAGTGTTTTCCAGAAAATTAGCCCAAAATGATCGATTTTGGTACATTTAAGGTTAGTTTTGAGCTTGAGGTTCGAATATGAAATTTTCAGAATTTGGACTCACGCTCGAGCGGGGAACTCCACGCTCGAGCGTACGCCTTGTGTTCTTGCAGTCCGCTCGAGCGAGGAAAGTGGCGCTCGAGTGTGAAATGCGTGTATTCAGTACTTTGCATGTGTTTACAGTCCGCTCGAACGAGAGAGTTTACGCTCGAGCGAGGACTCGTGTCTCACGCTCGAGTGTGGATCGAGCGCTCGTCGAGCGTGATTTTTGTGCATCCAGTATTTTTACTGTAGCTTGCAGTCCGCTCGAGCGACGGAAGTCACGCTTGAGCGGAGCTTCTTTGTCTGCATGTCCGCTTAAGCGAATAAAGCCATCCTCGAGCGAGACCCCTGTTTCTGAAAAATTTGAAAAGTGTTTTAAAGTGCATCTTTGCATCATCATTCCATCCTAGGCATTCCTAGGCCTAGTTTAAGGCCTCTTAACGAGGATATTGATGTAGAACCACACCGAGGCAAATTAGGGATTAAGTTATTATTTCCCAACTGTGTAGCTTAGTGTGTGTTCATTCTATAACTGTGTAGGGTTGGCATCCGAGGACGCGTACTAGCTTATCTGTAGCCTAGAACTCTGTAAGTAATAATGTTGTAAAGATATGTTCAATTGAGATTATTTTCTGAACAAATGACTGTACTGCCTTATGAAATGACACTGTTTACTGAATGAATGTTTGTCCTATTTGTGAACTGTATTCGTGGCATCCATAGCAATTTACTGTTACTGCTACTGTTACAGAGATCTCTGTCGGTTCCCATGTTGGAACCACTATTGTTTGCTGATATGATGGCCATCACCTGACTGTTCGGTCTGTTAAGACCTACTGTATTGTTTGCTACTGGATGTACCACTTATGACTGCTATAATTGATTGACTGATATACTGTTCAAATGACTGCTTTAAATACTGAAAGGACATTCATTCTTAACCTCTTTACGCATATGTTATTCACTGGGCTTTAGCTTATTGTTTATGTATATATACGTAGGTGTCCAGGTACCGGATCGGAGCTAGGGGCGTGGGGTTTAAGCTCCCGTTTTGTCAAGCCAACCAACGTGCCTCACTGCGAGGTTCCAAGTCCTTCAAGCTAGGGCTTGTTGGGGTGTTTTAGTTTCCCCCCCCCCCTTTTTGTATCTGGTTTTGTAACACTGTATAGACTGCATGATGTGTATTTGTACTGTACTGTTATGGTAGGGACTTGGTCCCTAACCCGGTATGCCTGTATATGATGTATGTACATACTGTTATGGTTTGAATGTGTATATGCTTAAAAGGTCTTCTTGTATACAGACTGTCACAGCTCATTGGACATCTTTCATTTACTATTTTGGCTTCCGCCAGCCCCTGTACTCTGTATTACTGTTTTATTGTTAAGCAGGACTTCAGTAATCTTGGATTACTGGCCGGTTACGGTGCTAAACCCATAGGGGCAAGTTTGGGTCGTGACACGTCCTGACATAGCATTTGTAGTTGGTATGCTTGGTCGATACCAAAGCAATCCCGGACTTGATCATTGGAAAGTAGTTAAGAAAGTGTTGCGATGTTTACAAGGCATTAATGATTACATGCTCACTTATCAAAGAACAGACAACCTTGAAGTGGTTGGTTATTCAAATGCTGATTATGCTGGATGCAAAGACAATCGAAAGTCCACTTCTGGGTACATTTTTATGCTTGCTAATGGACCCATTTCATGGAACAGTCATAAGCAGACTCTGACAGCTTCTTCCACTATGGAGGCAGAGTTCATAGCATGTTATGAAGCCACATGTCATGCAGTATGGCTCAAGAATTTCATATCTAGATTACAACTTGTCGATTCAATTTCGAAACCCTTACAGATTTACTGTGATAATGATGTTGCTGTGTAGTTCTCCAATAATAACAAAATTTCAGGAAGATCAAAGCATATTGATATCAAGTATCTAGTTGTTAAAGAAAGGGTTCTGAATCGGACTGTTTCCATCTCTTATATTGGTACTACACTCATGTTAGCAGATCCTTTAACTAAAGGTCTCACACCTAAGATCTTTCAAGAACATGTTGCGCGCATGGGCTTAATAGAAAGTTTAGACTTGAAATGAGTGTATTATGTTCGGGATAAATGTTATGCTATAATCATCTTCTGTTAGTAATGATTATGTTTGTTGTTTTCATTCTTCATACTTGTGCACAATTTAGAAGAAGATGTAAACAACGGGACCGTTATAGATAAATTAGCATTAATCACCATTATGTTGCTAATGTCATCTTTGTGATTTAAGATTCACTTATTCATGTTGATGGAAAATATTAACACTATAACCATTGTACAGTCTTGATCAATGTGTAAATCACTGACTACAATGATTTGGTGCTAATAATTTCATTGAACAGAATGTAATGGTGATGGTGTAATCTTCTAGTGGGAGAACGTTGGCCATATTATGATAATCTAGTAACGTAATATAATCATGCAAGCCAAGTGGGAGATTGTAAGAATTTTTCCTAAATATGGCTTAATGTGACTTATGCATGATTATACTAGATTCATTTCATTAAGTAAGATACATGTACATCAATTAGATGGTGACTAATCATTGATGAATACACTTATATATACATAATGTATAGAAAACTAATGGAGATAACGTTAATGCATTGAATGTGATAGATTCATTATGAATGAATCTTAAAGATGCATTGTGTATCTATTATGAATATATAAGATACATTAATCTATCTAATGAATTCATTAATATAGAAGATGCATTATGTATCATGAATGTATAAGATACATTAATCTATTTAATGAAATTCATTGAATGAATGAATTCTTTGATGGGAAGAATACTAGTATAAATAGTGTAAGGTCCCAAACCACACTCCATCAAAAAAACTCAAGTTGTCACCACAAGAAGGCTCCCATTGCCTAGAGAGAGAGAGAAAAATGATTTGAAAATCTTAGACAAATAAAGAACTTTAAGATCAAGATCTTCTATTCAAGGTTTCTTTTTCTTATAAGAGGATTTCATACTATCATGGATCAAGGTATGTATTCACTTATTTTATATAGCAGAAATTCATATAGTTTTCATGTATAGAATTGAATTCTTAATGGTTTTTAGTTTATGTTCCGCAAAGTTTTCTATCAATTTATAGAAAAAAAAATTAGGTCGATTCGATAATCGTAATTTTATTTTATTTTATCGTGTTTATCTTTAAAAAAAGAAAGATCTATTTTTAAAATAAAAAGATCTGTTTTAAAATATACTAGTCATTCATTTTTTAAAGAAGTAAACGTGAAAAAATGAAAAAATTACTATTATTAAATTGATATAAAATATTGAATTCAAATTTTGAACTCAAATTTTTTGAAAATTTAAATTTAAATTTAAATTTTTTTGTTTTTAATAATTTTTTTAATATTTTAAATAAATTTTTTAATTTTTAAATATACTTAACATAAATGTACTTAAAAAGTAAAATATTTATAAAAATCAATAAATATATAATAACACAATATTTTTTTTTATTTTTTATATTTAGTGAATTTTTTTTAAAAAAAATTTCTCTACTCTCTGTCTCTCTCTCTCTATCTCACATGTCTCAGTTGTGGTAATTCTTCCATAGGGTCCGTTTGGGATGCGAGTTGGTTTTTTAGTTTTTTTGATTATTTTAGTTTATGATTAAAAATTTTCGTTTGTAATAGACTATTTAATTTTTTTAAACATTTTTAGAGGAAAAATAAAATCTATATATAAGGAAAAGGAAATTTCTAACCCCCAAGCCTTGTGGAAGTTTCAATATCTCAATCTTAATTTTCTAAATTTTTGACTTAAGCAAAAAAAAAAACTCAGCATTTATTGATTTGGTCAAAATCCCTTGATCAACATTTATTAATTTTTTTCAATCCACATGCCTACATTTATTGATTTTGTCAAAATTCTCTGATCAGTATTTATTAACTTTTTCCAATTCACATGCATTTCTACATGCATTTTGAGAGCTTTGGTCAAAATCCACTCAAACAAATAATTATAGATGCAACTCGTACATAGTTACTGCAACACCCTTTTTAACTTCTCTCATACACTATGATTAATGATAAGATTGTTAAATTATTTTTATAAAAAATCTAAAAAAAATAATTTATATATTAATTTTTTTTTAAAATAAATATAAATATTTATAATTATTCCGTACATAACACGGGTGATACACTAGTAATTATAATTTAATTGTGACCGTTCATCTTATTAATTATTTTATTTTATTTATTTATTTGTTTATTTTATAGCAAAGATGGCCAATAAGCAGACTTTTTGGCATGGCAAACGAAGGCATAGTCATCCGTTTCTGAGCCTCTCCTCCAAATTCTCGTTGTTTATCTGTATATCTAATTAACTTCTCTCTCACACTCTGAAAGAAAGGGTTCGATGGGTTCGAGCAGCAGCCGTCCGGGGTCGCGCCCTTCTCGGGCCCCACGGCGATCCAACCGCCCCAAACGTCCCTTCCTCTCTCGTCTCGTCTGCGGTGGCTCCACCTCTCACGAGGTACGCCTCCGCTCCCACCATCATCAACATTTTCAATTACACATTTAACTCCCAAAATTGTCCTACCCATTTCTTGCTTTCCTTTATTTTTCGTCCATCTATTTGAATTCATGTCTTCTCTTTATACCCATAATTTAATTTTTTATTTATTTAATTTTTGTATATATACATGTGCTTTCTAATGGAATGACGTTTAATCAATTGATGCAAATAATGGGTTTGGTTTGGTTTGGTTTTCCATAATTGGGCATATTGGTTTCGTATAATTGATTCACACTCATATATTCAGGGAAGGAATTTGAATTCTAGTGCGGAATGTATATGCAATATTAATTCAAGCAAAATCTTAGGGGACCAAATCATTTAATTTGAAAATATTTTAAATAATAGCGGGTTTTCAAAATTTTGGGAGCGTTTGCACATATTTTTGGGAATATGGTAGTATTGGATTTTGTGATTTTGATTGCAATGGGGTAATTTTAGGTGGTGAAGTTTGAAGAAGTTGAAAATTCTTGAGCTGGGTGATTTGATAATTGACGGATTTTTAGACAGTTGGTATTGTGCAGCATCTTAGAATTCCAATCATATCGTGTCATCTTACGAAAACCAAAAGAATTGTGACCCTTTTAGATGGAGGTTTGGTTGTGTGCATTAAGTCAGCTAATATTTGGGTTGATTTGATAGGTATGGTGTTTAGCAATTATTGAAGCATATGAAGATAATTCTCAAAATAAGAAGCCAGAAGTTTGTGAAGTTTTGAGAGTTTTTTTCTTTTTCCTCCGGAGGAGTGAGTTTGGGTTTGAAGTTCATTGGCTTCCAATCGCAGGTTGCTATGCAGAAAAATGTTTGTGAGCTATTTGCTTAGTATAGGAAATGGGATTCGGATTAAAAAATGCTAGGTAGGATTTTACTGTGTTACATGGACTCTTCCATTTCTCCCACAATACCCGTGTCCATCGAATATGACATGGATAAGAGTGTGAGATATGTGTCCGACGCTCGTACCCAATTTAGACACTCAGATACTTTAATTTGTAACAATAAATGAAGAAAAAGAAACTCACATTTGTTAGTAAAGCAATATTTTTAGGCTTCCACATGAATTACATATAGAAATTTCATATTTTTTTCTGAATCATATTTAATTTCTAATGTATTTCTACATAATTTAAATCATCTCATCCGAGAATATTATATAATATACAATATATATGTGCATATGACTTGTCCCCGTACTCGTATCCAATTTTGGATACAAGATCTTAAGATTTAAATTTATGAATGTCTGACGCTTGGATACACACCTGCAGCCGACACTCGTACCCGAGTCCATGTAACATAGGGATTTTAGAGGGTGAAAGAATGTGGGTTAAGGGTTGTAACGCCCTCAAAAAAATGACATTAAACCCATCAATATAAACATGCATTGATATTTATAATATTCACATTCTTCAATTCATCAGAGTATTTCTTTACAAAAGTATTACATGTTAACAACAAAAGCAAATGCCCTACGGGCTTACAGCTTTCCAAGTTAACACTTGGTTACAAAAAAAAGAGTACTCACTCAATTACACATTAAGCCCTTGGCTTGGAATTACATGTAATACATCAAATGGAAATAAGACAACAAAAGTCTGTCCACCTCTAGCCTCCCAAGCTATGTCCTTGGAGGTGGCATACTACGTGTACCTGAAAATAATGTCCCATAAAGGGTGAGGCAACGCCTAGTAGAGATATGCTAAACACAGTATGAGCAATAACTAAGACATTAGCAATTGATAAATGTTCAATTTTCATAAACCAATTCATAACCCATTTCCATCTCATGACCACCACATTCATGTTTCATTTCAGTTTCCATTTCCTATCAATTTCACAACTTACATCAATGGCTCAGAACCTGGCCAACTACTTATATGAGACAGTGACTCATATTAAACATTTCCCATTATCACAATAGATAAACCTACAAGTTGTATAAACATTTCAACAGGTAAGCATACAAACTGTACCCACATTTCAACAGATATGCATATTAGCTATATCAACACTTCCAATGACAAGCATATGAGCTGTATCAACACATTATCTGACAAGCATATGAGCTGTATCAGTGGAGTCCATCCCCTATCTCCTCCCAAACAACATCCGGTTTAGAGGTCCATCCCCTATCTTCCCCTAAACCATGGAGTACATCCCCTATCTCCTCACACAATACATAACGTTAATGTATTCTATCAACCGTCATACTCTATGACATATCCAATTGATTAGTTTTAGTTTGCCTGATCATCATGCATTGTCTACAACAATCAAAACTACCCTCCACCGGTAGCCCAAGCAATTATTTCTAAACAGATAATAAAAGCTCCAACAGATAAAATATCAATGTTTTCAAAAGCGAGTGATTTACAAATCCAACTCCATCATTTCACAACGTAATGAGCCAATTTCATTACTTCCAACTCAATTCCATAAGTCCACAAATTTTTCCAAATTAATTATACCAATTAATTTATTCAACCAAATTAGGGCTTTCTACCCCATTTCTCAATATTGACCCAATGGTCTAAATATCAACAACCAACATCAATAATTCCATTTGAAACCCAAAATACATATTATGAGCCCAAAATCACAAAACCCTCTTTAACACATTTTGAAACCCTAAGTCTCAAAATTTTCCAAATTCAACACTTTATCAAAATAACTAAAAATCTAGGTTAAAGACCATAAGAGTGAGTAGGAATCCCTACCTCAAAAGATGACTCCCAACCAAGAAGGTGAAGAAGACGAAAATGCTCCAACCCACGAATTTCTCGGATCAAAAGATAGCCCTCGACGATCAACAACTTTTTTGTAAAGACCAAAGGTGAGGAAATCACTCCTACTAGATCAATACCTAGAGAGAAGTCAAGGTTTTAGAGAGAGGAGCTCTCAAAATGGGTTTTAGAAAAAGTAGGAGAGAGAAAGGAAAGTAAAAAGTGATTTAAAATCACCTAGCGGATAACTCATATACGCATGACCCGCTTGAGCGGAGAACACATCACTCGAGCGCCAAGAACAAAAATCTGGACACGCTCGAGTGCAATAAGTCCCGCTCGAGCGCCAAGACACAAGAATAAAGCACTTCCGCTCGAGCGCGAAAACCAGTCCGCTCGAGCGTAGATTTCCCCCTCTCAGAACTTATATCTAGAAAGTACTACCCGCTCAAGCGCCAACAAACCCGCTCGAGCGCTATCGCTCGAGCGTAAACAAACCCGCTCGAGCGTAAAAATTACATCTGCAGAAGTTTTGCAGGAACACGAAATACTGGAGGTGTGCAATCCCCGCTCGAGCGCAAGAAGACCCGCTCGAGCGGACCACCTAAAAACTGAGCAACAAGGAATTGAAACCAAGGCCTAACCAACCTGTAACAACCCTGCCCAAAACATCCTAAAACTCAATTAGGTGGAATTAAAGGACGACAACAAGATAGATACAACTACCAACTTCACGGAACCGAGTCCGGAATACAACAGGACAGTAAAGGGACAACCAGGATCACTATAACCTCCCCCCCTTAAAGAATTTCGTCCCCAAAATTAAACACAAGTTTTCCAAAAACAAGTTTTCTCCTTTCTCAACAATATTACAACATAATATTAAACAACCCGACCCATTACTGGTCAATTCCAACTCTTTTCAAGAGGCAAAACACATTATTCATAACAACCTGCATTATCAACATGCATTCTTTTGAAATCTATCAATTTCAACCTGCTTCTCACCATTTCTTAACACATGCAACATTAATATCATGCTTGCATTTCCACAATGTACTTAACATACGTAATGTTAAAACAAATTCCCATTAACCAAAACATTCACAATGTTTTACAACTTAAGACATATACAATCAAGGTTTTAAAAAGCGGCCGCAACCGTTACGTAACGCCGTTACGTAACGGTTTTGGCGGTTACCGCCACCCGTTACGGCCGCTTTTGCAGTGTGATTGAGATTCACAGGTGTGTCGGCCGTAGCGGCTGCCGTAGCGGTCATAACGGTGCCGTAACAGTTGTAACGGCCTGTTACGCACTGTTACGTAGAGGTTCCAAACTGTTTCTTTCGAAAAAACACACAAAAAAAAGCTGAAAATGAGGGAAGAGGGATAGAGAGAAGAGGGAAGATAAAGAGAAAAAATGGAGGAGCAAGAGATAGAAAAAGAGAAGAGGGAAGATGAAAAGCATGTTATTGATTTGTTGAAGTTGTAAGACCTATGTTATTCTATTCAGCTGCTATCACTTAACCATTTTGTTTGTATATGTCTATCTATATATTGTTTGAAAATAATAATAATAATAAGTGTGGTCATTATGGTCATTATCTATTTGGCTTGGTTAAAATATGTATATATATATATATACTTACTATTTAGGCTCTTATTTATTCTCTTACTTTGTCATTGTTTATTTTATGTATAATAGTTAGTGATTGATTTTTTGTATAATATAAAGTCATTAATTATTAAAATAAAATGTAAAAACTCAGTTTATAGTGATTTAAAATATTGAAAATATATTGCATCATACTTAAAAATTTACAAAAATTGATCAATATTTATTTTAACCCAATAAATATGATCATGGAAAAAAAAATATGCGTATCGGTAAGTTTTTTTTCAAATTGTGCGAAAAATAAAAAAAATTCACGGTTCCGGTTACCGCAACCGTTACACTACGGCTCTTACACCCCGCAACCGCAACCGCGTCACCGCCACCGTTACGGCGACCGCAACCGCTTTTCAGAACCTTGTATACAATGCTCTTAAAGTTCAACAATATTACAGAATTTCATTACAAAATTACACATCAATAAACATGTCCGGATACTTCTCACGGACTTCCAACTCACGTTCCCAAGTGGCTTCCTCCACTCCGTGATGTTTTCACAAAACCTTCACCAAAGGAATGGTCTTGCCACGCAGGACTTGATCCCGCCTATCAAAGACCCGAAC